AAAAGGAGAACAGCTTTTATTATGATCACATTGTTGGAAGGAAGAGAGAGCAGCGTTAAGAAAAACAGATATCGAGAGAGGAAAAAAGGTTTTTTTAATTTACTCTAACGAGGGAGAGAGCAGATCAATTGATTAGAAAATTACGAAATTGTAACTATTATTTTTTTAGTTTTTATTGTTTAAATAATATTCTAATTGTATAATATGCCATGTACCTATAGAGGCTGAACATTTCATTGTATTAAAAAAAAAAATGATTCTGACAGGAACACGTTTTCAACGAAGACAGTAAAAAGGTGAGTTAAAACCTGTGCATTTGACTGACATGCAGTATTTCTGTATGTTTTTTTGCTGTTCGTGGCTGTCTCGGAAATCACCAGAAAATTTGCATGATGATCTTAAAGACAGTCTGTGTAGTGTGTAGTCTGTAAATTCGTGTATGCATCGACATTATGAGTTTCTTAAATACCTGCCCAAATCAAAAAAAAAACACATCATTATTTTCTTCTAACCTATAACTATGACCCTTGCAGTAGGTTCACGTTACAACGAATAGCTTTTGAAATTATTAAAATATATTATTCGCTGCAGTGTGGCCCAGTATATATAAGTACCTTCATATTTTATTCCTGCAAGGTTATCCTGCAACCGGGATATGTCTTATTCGTGTATTATAAGTTAGTAAATCGTGTTATATAAATCTCGAAGAATGTACATTCGTATATATATAATATTGAAGTAGGTCGTTTGTTATAGTCGCGCGACTGCTATGCACACGCACATGTGTCAAAGACTGCTGCAAATCCCGAGAATAATGCTATTCTTTTTGACAATGCATATAATAATATCTTAAATGTACGAGTTGGTGTTCTAAGCACGTTTCATTTTGTGTTTAACTATTGCTCAACGGATACGATATTGGCTCTAACGACGTTTAATACGCGTCACACATTAAATTTCCAAAGTCCTCTTTGGTATTGTTTGCGAATTTTTCCGCTAATTTTAGTGATTTTTTTTTGAAATCCCGCAACGTTTAAACCTAACATAAGTAACGTACAAAAATATATAGTAAAGTCGAAACTCGAAATGTTAGTTTCGAAAACATCATCTAGATTCAAGAATAATACATAATATATAAGTACCCTACTATATAGTACACCTAATGCCTATACCTACATGGACTACATATATCATATTCTTCCTTATTTTAAAATATTAAATTTAAATATATATTTTTTTTAAAGAAAAAAAGGTTATATTATATTATTTATAATTACATGTTTGAAATATATACTTTGAATATAATATATCAATTCACTGTCGGATTTTAAATCGACTGTCCCATTTGTATTTATTTTAAACCCTGAGTTGTAATTAGTTTAGGTTACAGTACATTTTAAATCGATTATGATTATTCCAATTATACATTTTTTGAAACATCAACTAAATTGAGTTTATAATTTATAGAATAAAATGTTTATGTATTTACGAAATGAGCGTGTGTTATTAGAATAGAAAATCAAATATTAAAACAAATATATAATGTGCTTATTTTATATTTTTTTTTAATGCGTCCAGTTTTCATTCTATTGAAAATTTTAATTAGTTGAGTGTAATTACTAAGTTTATATCTAATTTGAAACAAATCAATTATTTATGTACAATTATATATGAGTTAAATATGTTTAAACTATAAAGTACATATATATTGTACATTTATAATTTTCATTTTAATGTGAACTAAATTTATTAAAAATACTTCAGAGATTAAAGCATTTTTTTCCTTTTTTTAAAACACTTACAAATTTAAATCTTCATTAGAACAAAAAACGTTTAAGTTGTATCTCAGTTCTTTTTTAATAATATTGCTTATATAATATTTTAGGTACGTTGCAACTAATTGTATAAACTACAAAGTGATAGTTGTCTGCAATAGATGACTATATAATAAGAATTTAATAACTGCAGAATGTTATGAAACTATTGAAAATATCTGTTATATTACGTTTTTAGATAATACACACATTGTATTTTCATAATTTATCATTAATTATTTGATATAAATAGTGTTAGATTGTTTTGCATACTGCTGTAATTCAAATCGACAATAAGAATATACCTACCTACTATAGTATCATTATTAAATTTGGTGCTTATATAATATGATGGGAAGGTACGTATAACGTATTAAACAACCCATTTAAAAAAAAATACGAAATAAAACTGAAAAATATTCTAAAAATATAGGTGGTCAAGTGGGTGTCACTCCGCTGTACAATAGGTTACAAATGGGTCACTGTAATGGATGGTGTTAAATTTGAATTCAATGATTTAATAATATCATTGTGTACAAAAAACGATTCTGAGCGAAGATGATCAGTCAGCCTATGATGTTTTGTTTTGTTTTTTTTTTATTATTAGCCTTTAGTAAAAAAAACTATAATAGCTCGACAGAGCCTATGATGTTTTGTTTTGTTTTGTTTTGTTTTTTTTATTAGCCTTTAGTAAAAAACTATAATAGCTCGACAGAGCCTATGATATTACTCAGTATATTTGATGATATTATTGAAATAAAAAATTTATTTAACAATTTATAAAAAATAAAAAATAAAACACACATCATTGTAAAACTAATACATTCATCGCTCCGCTCAGAATCTAAAAGAATTACGATATCACACAAAATTACTTGTACAACAAAACAAATGTATATTATTGGTAAAAAATATTCTACAAAGCTGTACTTTACATTATCAAAAATAATTTTTAAAAGATATAAATATTAATATATAAAATATAAATATAAATATTAAAAAAAATTACATCTTGGCTACAGTTAAAACAATATATAGAAGTTTAACAAACTTATAGAAGCTTATTATACTTGTATTATAATAGTAATTATGAATACTGATAATTGTATTTGTACAATAGCTCTATATTGTATTACAGTATGATTATATACAATATAAATTAAATATATATATTATATACATATAAGAACATATATTTATTTATTTGTAATGATATTATTGATATATATGCGATAAATGTATCCAGTGGCAGACTGAACTTAAATTGTTCATAATTAAGTACTTACCACCACCTCCACCCACCACCATAACTTATAACAAAGTTATGATGTAAATAAAATTTGATTGAAAGAGCTAAGACATTAGGCACCACAGTCACGGGGTGGTACCACCCCATTTGAAAAGTTGACACAGCTACTTCGAAATTGAGCCCTTCAGTCCGCCACTGAATGTAAAGTAATTATTTAATTGTATTAACTAATCAATTTATAATAATTACTTTTCTTTAATGTAGTTCAATTTTTTTTTACACAATTAATATTTAACATGAATTTATATTTCAAATTTTGAACACATGCGTTCAGTAGGGTGCCCATTATCTTCTTAAAAAATAAATCTAAATTCAAAATTCAAAAAAAATTATTTCGAAAAGAATTAACTTTTTTGAGATTTTTTTTCAATCCTTTTTGTGAAATATTTTAATAGTTACATCAATACTCTTATATTTAAGTTGTTATATTCTATTATAAAATTAATGTTAATATATTTTTTTTCTTTTTGTTTGATTTTAAATTCTAGTTTGTGGCGATATTCACGGTCAGTTTTACGATCTAATGAAGTTATTTGAAGTCGGTGGTCCTCCTGCGACAACAAAATACCTATTTCTGGGTGACTACGTGGACAGAGGGTATTTCAGTATAGAGGTAATTTATTAATATTACACATTTAATTTCTATAAGCAATAGGTCACATTTAATTGTTTTTATTTCCATTTCAACCCAAGGCACGTGGCTTTTACCGTAATTTATCATTTCAGATTTTTCAAACGATAATAGTATTATAGGTTTCTTATATAGATAGATATAGATATAGATATAAAATATTTTAGATTTCTTGCGTATAAATCATATATTATAAGCGTAAACAAAGAAAGCGCGTCGTACACATCCAACTAGTCTAATAATTTAGTCGGGACTTAAAACTTTAGTAAGAAACTACTCTGGATCTCCGTATCCTAGATATACCCGACACCCGTGTGTAAAACGCGTTAAGTTTTGAAAAGAAAAATAGAATTTTTTTTTCAAACAGTTAACATTCTTTCGTATATTTTTGAATTACAATATAGAATAGCTAAACGTCCATAAAATCAGATACCTAATGTCCTATAATCAAACTAATTCATATAGGTCCATTCTCAGATATTCGCATACATTCCATCAGTGTTATCGATTTTTTTTCTAACTTAATTAGTGTTTAAAAATATATCTGCAAAATTATTATACATTTACACAATACCTATATCAGTACATGTTTTGGTTGAAAGGCAGCGAGATATGAAGAGATATGAATCAAGAAACCTAATTGAAATTCCCTCGAACACCGTTGCACAGAACGCCCAAAAATGGAAATGGAGTATATACAGTAGAGATAAATAGATGATAATATTAAATATATAGATTATCACTGTTTTACCTATTATCATTTAACGTCATAGTACCGATACGAATATCGAATATGTAAATTTATAATAATACCAATACTGAATACACTATATCTGCATGATACTATCAATCGTGTTTTACTTTCACATTATCTCCTGGTCATCAGAGTTCATCCTTATGATATTCTTATATGTATGGGTTCAATGTGAATAATAATAACAGTAATTGTATATTATTTAGGTTTATTGTTTATTTGTATACATATTACATTCAGTATTATTACAGTAGTATCATACAATTATTACATTGAAGTGTAATAAGTGTAACAATTATACTGTATATAAATGAGAGACAAGAATAAGACATTTAATTAAACACCGGTATGACACTATGACGTTATAATATTATTTTATTAAAATATAATCTAGCTATACCACTGAAAATATTGGTTTTAACTTTTAATTTATGTTTAATAATAATTATATTTTTATTTTTATCTCAAAAACAATAACAATATATGAAACTATAGTTTTAAATTTAGGGAAAAATGTTTGTAGTTTAAATATTTTATCATACATGTAAACAGATCCGAAAAATGCATTCAAATATTTCATTGCCAGGCAAAAAAATAATATTTTCTTAAATAAATTGCTTTCAACAAATCAATATTTGATATTTTCAACGTACCTATTGTGTGAAATATGATTAAAACCTCTCAGAAATGTACAAATTCAAACTTTCACTGAAAAATAGTCAAAATATGTAAAATTGTGTACCAAATTTACAGAGGAAAATATTATATTTTAACTCGTAAGATCTTGAAACTAATTTGTATCTTTAATATTGTTCTCAATAAATCTCGTACACAGAAAAATAAACTTGCAAATATAACTTTCTCTCAACAAATTATAATAATAAAGCTATTATTAGTCATTCTGTCTATATATTATATTATATGCAATACCAAGAATTTATATTTACATTGATGTTACAACTGAGGGGAGGTAAGTTACCTACCCCAACCACTCGTACAATTAATATCCATTAATGGTATCTACATAGTACATATTATTATAATATAATACCACTGCAATTTACCTGCACCTGCGTTTGTTATTTCATACGTAGTTATATATTGTTTATAAATGGTTATTTTGTTTGTAGTGTGTGCTTTACTTGTGGGCTTTGAAGTTGTGCCATCCCACTACGTTATTTCTATTAAGAGGAAACCACGAATGTAGACATCTAACCGAATACTTCACGTTTAAACAAGAATGTAAGTAAATCAAATTAATGCAAGCATTTGTATTTAAAATTATTTTAATAAACGATGTACCTACCTACACAATTTAATATTGTACGACTCCATTGAAATACTCATATTATATCTTATAACTAAGAACTGCGACAATGTGTGTGTCTATATGTGACTATGTATGTAATTAACGTATACTTAAGTATTGTTATTCTCAAAATAATCATTATTCGTTTATATTATATACTTAAAATTATCAAAATTTTTTTGCAGCCAGTTAGTCGCTTGCAATAATTATTATATTAACAAAGTAGTTCTATACATTGACTTTATAATAGTTTTTCAATCTGTAAAAATACTACTTACGTATCGGTATCACAGTAGGTATCAATTTAAAATTGCATCATTTGATTTATTAATATTTTATAAATTATAATAACCTTCTATGAGCAATGAGCATACAAAGAAGAAAATAGAAAATAAAAATAAATATGAATATGAATACAATTCTTGAGTATAGGTACCTAAAAAAAAAAAATGTTTTAAATTTTTAATTACTTTAAATACAATTATATAATCAATAAATATTGTATTATTGTGTTAATTATCGCTTCTATAGTATCACCTGTTGAAAGTTTTGATTGTTTTATAAATATGTGTAGAATACTGTAGATTAAATAAAAATATCTTTAGGTAGGTACCTGTTCATACCTCCATCATATAAAATCATTTTTTTGTAATTTTTTATTGTATATTTTATCACTATATGTAGGTATATGAGTATTTTTTTAACGTCGATATTGAAAAAAATCTCTAGGTTCAATATGTATTATTTTCTTTGTCAATATTGAATGACCTATGCACTGTATATATAAAACTACGACTTAAGGGACATATACATATAGTGATTTCGGTAGTATTACTCACGTGTATATTATAGACGACAAAATTCCCCAGCGATTTCCATTACTTCTCCTTGGTCTATTGTAAATACAAATATTTCATTTATTTCGCCGCAGGTATAATACGATTATAAAGCTTTATTGGAATGTAAAAATTGAATTAGTGGTATTCGGATAGACGAATGGATAAACATATACTTTATGCGATGAATATATGACTTTTCGTCAGCTAAACGTTATATACGTATAGTATATTACTATATATATATATATATAGTGTTATATCACGCATTCATGCATAACGGCTGATAAATACAATAATTTACTGAAAAATTCAGCCCATAAGACTCCGGCACCGACGACGATCAAATTTAAGCTACCTAGTACTACCTACCTATATATTATTGTATAGCTGATTGTGATACTAAAATATATAATAAAAGTACATAATACTACTTTTAGAGACGTAGAATTTTATTCCCGGTCTATGTAACTTATTAGATTTTTAATCACATTAATATTTCTAGGTAAAATAAAATATTCTGAGCGAGTTTACGACGCCTGTATGGAGGCATTTGATTGTCTACCGCTCGCTGCGCTCATGAATCAACAATTCCTTTGTGTTCACGGTGGACTCTCGCCAGAAATACATAATCTGGACGACATCAGAAGGGTAAGTTGCTACTGATACTCGTGTATTTTGACGCTTAGTTATTAGTTTTCTGTTGTTTATATATTATTATTATACGAAATTTTCTTTAATTGTTCAGTTGGACCGATTCAAAGAGCCTCCAGCTTTTGGTCCCATGTGTGACCTTCTTTGGTCAGATCCTCTAGAAGATTTCGGCAGCGAAAAGAACGCTGAACATTTCAGTCACAATAGCGTTAGAGGCTGTTCATATTTTTACAGGTACATAATATACAATATACATTTTACATATAATCTGTACTCACTGTATCATCTCTGTGATAACGAGTCCCGCAAAAATGGTATTAAAAAATTACTGGCGTATTAATATTAAATTATTTTGTTTACAAATAAAAATACTTCGATTATTTTTTACATAAAATCATTTTGAGTAATCATTTTTGAGGTTTTTTTAAGTTTTATCGGGTTTAATGTGTTAAATTATTAAGTTCTCAAATCCTTAGTAACAATGCACATTTAACCAAAGCTGCAAGTATATGAAAATACAAACGATTAAAAATATACTTTGCCATATCCCAAATTTCTAATGTTTCGAATTGTTAGCAATTTTTAAAATATTTGAGTATACGCTATATTTATTTTAATCGTTTAACAGTTTAAAAAAGATTTTCCAAAGTTTTTCCAATCGTTGTTATGATTTACAATATATATTGATAGACACTTTCTCCAATTTTTTCCCGATTTGTTTACAAAATTCCCAACCATAACCTTTGTTAAATTCTGTGAATATTTATCAAGTAAAATACAGTACTTATAAATAAGACACTTAATATGTTATTATGTAACATTTCCAATGCGCTTGACTGTTTTCCTACGTAAAAATATACCCATAAACCTAAGAATTCTATCGATTACGATTAATCTAAAATTTACGTAATTACCCAAATGTACCAAATAATCTATGGCATTTTTCTTATATAAAAGTATAAATCTTATGTATAAAACGTGGAAATAAATATAAAACTGTGACTCGGCGCGGCGCAGTGGCTGAAATCAATCACTCGACATGATTGAGAGTAAGCAACGGCCGCTGCCACTAGTTCTCGGATGGATGACCAAGCGGGTTCGTAGTGAACAAAAACCTTGCAACACATACACGTGTTCCTAACCGACCGTACCAACCGTCCCAACCCTATACTGTACAAGCCCTACAGTGTTATGCCAACCTACAGGCTAATGACCTCAGTCGTCGAAGCCTTAAACATTTAATAAAAAAAATTATTATTATTATAAAATTCAGATTCTATATTAGCAACACAATACACAAGTACCTTTTATCTTTATACCAGAATATGGCCAAAGAATATGTTACGAAATTCAAACTTATTGACGTTGTTACTTCTTATAATATATTACCAAAATAACTACTTACCTTATACCTAGCTGGTACTAAGGTCGTAGATTAAGATACTTTCTCGCTGTCCTTGTATCTAATTTCTGACTTTCTGAGTGGCAAGCTAGAAGTCATTTGGAATATTACCATATGCCATAAGTAACATTTATCAAATATTTAAATCCATTTATAATAAATCTTTGTTTTGCAGTTATAAATTTAATTTTAAATATTTCAGAAAATATATTTAAAACTATATTTTAAAAAATGGTGCATATTTTTATTTTGGATACAAGGTGATTATTTTTTGAAGAACTCTCATTATTTCAAAAACTATTAACGTTTTTAAAAATATTTATTTTACGTAACTTGTAGTCATTAAAAACAAATGTTTTCTAAAATAATAATATATTATACTATTTATATCATAGTTAGGTTTTTATTTTTATTAATAACAACATGCATTTTTAATGGCAAAGCAAATTGACTTAATGGCAAAGCAAAATATTTTTTTTAGTATTTCGATGCATAATAATTTAACTTTTGACCAGTAGACAGTAGTTTATCAGTTATCGATATTTAAAGTATACCTAGCTATATGAGCGGAGTAGTGTACCAACATTTCTGGGATACTCCTTGACCCTCATCAACCATTCAACTCTTTCCAAATTTATCTATTGAAGTCCTCAAGAAAATATTCTGCTTGTCGCTTGAAATATATCATTAAAAATGTGTGTTGTAATTAAAAAAATTAAAAATTATAATGAAAAAATAGTAACAATATATATTTTTAGAAAATATTGTTTTTAATGACTTACAATTAAATTAAAAAATATTTTCAAAAACATTAATAGTTCTTGAAATATTGGGTGTTCTTCGAAAAAATAATCACCTTTTATATGTAATATTAGTTATTAACTTACATTTTATTCTTTAAAACCATATAAATATAGGACGGTAATATATCAACTGAAATTGATTATTAAAAATGCATCAGTTATAGTAATATATAGTACTACATAACAATTAACGTATAAAGAAGTGAACCACACATTTCACTCAACAACCAAAAATGTGTCCATGAACTCTTCAGTTATACAACCATTAAGCTATGTAATTATTTTAATTTCATACATATAAAATTGAATAATTAGGAAATTGTGTGCAACTGATAATTAATGAAGCACTCAAATAAAATTATCTTTTTATTTGACTAGGCAAGTCTGCTATAAAACATTAAAAAATTGATGGCAATCAGAAACCAATAAAAATATACATTGTTACATTTAATATTTTTAATGGATGCGCATAAATCATGCATTTAGATAAAAACTTTAATAAATACAACATTAAACAAAATTTGATGAGTTAAAAGGTAGGTAGATTAAGGTTACGAGTTACGACTAAAGAGCTTAAATAAAAGATGGGAATTATAAAAAAAAAAAATAATGAATACAAATGTTGAGGTTGAAGAGGGTAATATAATAATATTCTATAGTAAAGTTATGCACTTTGTTGTATCAAATTATCTAAATACATCTTGTATAACATGAGAATTTAAATTCATAAGTATGATTATAAGATTTGATTTTACTTAACAAACCTAATTTGTAAATATTTTTTAAAAAAATTTCAGTTATGCAGCATGCTGTGATTTTCTCCAGAGCAACAATTTACTATCCATCATAAGAGCACACGAAGCTCAAGACGCAGGGTGTGTTTCGAACTTTTTTTGGATATTATTATAAGTCGACTTTTTTTATAACCATTTGTGTTTATTTGAATTAGATACCGAATGTATAGAAAAAGTCAAACGACCGGTTTTCCATCTTTAATCACGATATTCTCCGCTCCCAACTACTTAGATGTATACAATAACAAAGTAAGAAAATAACATAACTTTAGTGTTATCAAATATTACTTTATAAAAACGATTGTTAACCATGGTGCATATATAGGCTGCCGTTTTAAAATATGAAAATAATGTTATGAACATCAGACAATTCAACTGTTCGCCACACCCTTACTGGTTGCCAAACTTCATGGATGTGTTTACTTGGTCTTTGCCGTTCGTCGGCGAAAAAGGTACTTTAGTCATTTTGATATCATTACTCACATCAACATATTTTAAACATGGTTTTTTTAGTTACCGAGATGTTAGTGAATCTGTTGAATATTTGTTCGGACGATGAATTAATGACCGAAGGCGAAGATACACTCGAAGACGGTATGTACAATCATTTTACACATAATTATATCATGTATGCACCAACCAACTATTTCAAATTACTTTATATTTATTTATTTTTCGAGTACAGATATAATAATATTTTATTGCCTTCTCGATCGATGCTCGAGCTTCTATGATTAGCAACACTGATCGAGAAAGCATTTTTCACAGTAGGACAGTATATATTTTTATTTAAATTTCTATATTAAATACTATATTAATATTTAGCCAAATCTTAGCTTTAAATTTATTCTCACCCTATATTATTAATTTAATATTTATTGTATTGAATAATAATTTTTTTATTCATTTATTTGTAAACTTTGCTTTTTTTATTTATCTTAACTTATGCTTCTCTGGGATTACAGCTGATGGTAAGAAATGTCTATATTACATTATTAATATTGGTTTAGTTTAAGTAGAGAACAAAACACTAAATAATGTCGCTAGAAAAATGGACTGCTCCCTAAGTAGATATTCAAAACTCCTACCTCAATATTTTTTATTTTTATTTTTGTTTTTACTTCCCTTTATTTGTTGACTTTTTGAGTTGCTACCATTTATGAATTTTTATAAAACAAACCTTCTAACTCACTTGAATGTTTATTTTTTATTTTATTTTTTTGCTCTTTCTATTTGCCTTACGTACAATAAAAAAAAAACAAATAATAAAGACATGGCCAATTGTATCACAAAAATAATTAAAAAACGAAAACGTGATGAATTTCATTATGAAAAAATAAACAATACAATAATTTTGAATTTATTGACCTTTCATACATTGGTTCATTTCAAAACCATCAATATTTAATTGGCAGCGATTAAAATAACAAATAGCTGAACAGTTAGTTTCAATTAAACTAAACGAAACAATGATAGACGAGTACGAGTATATTTAGATCTGAAAATGTACATGTACTCGCCGTCTGACATTTTATTTTAATAGTCACACCCAACCCCTGTATTTAATCCTTTTTCGATTATCATTTAATTTAACAAAAATTATATGTTTAGTTAAAGTTATAACTCATGTAGATTATGGATTATATTTATAACATTTCGAATATAATATTTTATTTTATATTTCCAATCTAAAACAAAATCTAATCATTTTTTCTCCTGTGTAAATTGATTTATTTTCAAAATAATTAATAATGTGACACTGCAGTTTAATAAATTGCTTCGGTATATTTTATATTAAACCTATGTTCAATTATTTTGAATAAAGTACTTACGTTATTGAAATGCAAATATATTTTTTAAAATATAAGAATAAAACCGAATTAATGTTGTTTCGAAGTAAAAAAAATATGTATAAACTGAGATTCTGAATACTTAATATTCCTTATTGTAGTTTGTTTTTTAATCAAAAGTTGATAAATTTTCTATTGCAAAATTCATCCATCTAATTTTATAACTGTATAGGTGCCTATGCAGCACAATTTTATTATAATGTTCAACTTACGGAAACTATAAGAAAAAAAATTGAAAAAAATTATAATAAAAATAACATTTTGACCTTCGCTTTTATGTTTCTTCATCTTTATTCTCTCATGTTAATTATAAAAATTTTTAAAATTGAGAATAAATATACATAGATGTATAGGCTATTGTACCTACTTACTTTACTTATTCTTGGACGCACTCTTTCAATCTTCTATATATTTTGTTTTCTTTTGTTTTTCTGTTTATATTTTTAAAATCTTTCGCTCTCTGTGACCGACCGATCGACAGCCATTGTTGTTAAACCGATAGTTCCGAAAATGCCCGGTAAGTTTTCTTCCCGAAATTGTTTTTTTCTGTTTTATTTTAATTTTCAAACATATCAACATAACTTACAATTTTGCTGTTTTTATTTCCACTTTTCTTTTTAGCAGCCCTTAGATTTATTTTTTCGTTGTTGTTGTTGTTGTTTTATTTTATTATTGATATTTTTTTTTATTTTTATTTGAATTAATTATAATTATTTTCGTATTTAACACTTAATATTATATATATGTTGACATTAATTTTTTCAATTTTTTTTTTTTAATATTTCCGAGTGTTATTAATTCGCTTGAATGTTGGTATACTAATTAATTTAATAAATAATAATAATATAAGAGAGTTCAGCAGACGATTATAGGAATTTCTCATTCAGCTATACACCTACGACATTAAAATATTATATATTAGTAGTCATCTCTCGTTTTCAGTACCTATTACCTCTATATAATATATAATATATACTCGCACACATACAATTATTCTTTAGGACCGAATAGACATTACGTGTTTTCGATTCTAGAAACGTAGGAAATCTTTATTCCTTTGTGGTATTTCCTTTGAATCAATTAACATCCTGAAAAAAATAAAAAATAAAATTAGTCAAGCTTGGAGGACTGTGCATGTATAATAAAACACCTAATATCTACAAACCTACCTGCTATATTTACATAAACATTATACATCAAATTTTATAACCGATAGCTTCGTTAAAATAAATAAAGCTATTACAATATAAACCCCTCCCCATCCCTGCCTCCACCACATACTATTTAGGTTTCCCGTAGAATTTTATTTTATTTAGTACCTAATTAAAATAAAATAAAAAAGTATTTACGTTTGTTTAGAAATTTGTTGAAAATCAAAGTAGTAATACCTGTAGAACTAACTTCACATCATCGGCCCACTCCGGTGCCGTCTAAATCTAAGTACCTATATATAGACATATAGTGTCACAATACCGCGTATTTAACTATTCATTTCACTGTCGTTATTACATGTATATTTATATTACACTTTTCGGTACCCGAAATACCTTTTAATACTGAAGGTACGGCACTTATAATGTATAAAAATCGACTTCTCCAGTTGAACACGAGCAATACAAATAAATTATAATTATTAATTATACATATTACCAATATAACATACACTTCACTCGTTTAGTCGTTTGGCATTACACCAGTATGATGATAGTATACATATAAATATTACATATTATATAAACTTGTTAATAATATACTTTTTAATAACGAACCAACAAATAGTTATTTTAGGCCTGGAACAAAAATTGCACTCGTTTTTAGCTTAAGGAATGCATATATATTATATACATCCTATATAATATTTATATAATTACGTTATCGTTTCATTGTAGGTTGCAGGTAAAGTATTTTTAATTAAACGAAATTAAATTTTAAACCAATTATTCATTTCACTGAATAATTGATTGCCACCGATGATCGATCACAACAAACAAACAAAAATAATAATAATATAATGTACACGTTATCACCTATACCTATACTTATACCTATATTTACCTACGTATTGTTGAATAGAAATAATACCACTTGACTTCGTATTGGAAAACAGTTCTTGCGCATACGCTGTAGCATTATATTATGCGTATACATGCATATTTGTTTATCAATTATTGTCGAATAATGACGTTTAAATAAAAAAAAATATTTAGTTTCAATCTTTATTTAAATTATTTTTTTGAAGTAGGCGGTAGTTAAATAATTTCTGCAACACGGACATGTTTTATCGTAATTTATTAGAGATATTAGAGCTGTGACTAACACAAGAGTTACACCGTTACCCACATTATACCTAAATACAACGACATCGCTGTGCTTACCCATTACGTTATGAAGAAAAACATTGCCATTTGTCCATATATATTATAATATATTATTTAACAAGGATGCTTTGTGCTCACTGCTCATAAAAAATCAATTTAGTGGGTACAACATCAATATAAACATTAACCAATCTCCTAAAATTATAACCAATTTCTCTCGATTCTCGAAAATACCGAAATAGTTATAGAATATTTAAATACTTGCCTAAAATAAGAATATTCAAAAATATTAAGATACATATAGGTACTTGCATACTTATACCTATATATTTTATATTCCAAATACCAAAATAGGGGTTTCAAAAATAAAACCTCAGTGAGTAGTGGATACCACCCACAACTATTGTTATTAGCTCGCCCTGCGCTATTTAGGGTGTATTTAACAAATACAGTTGTAAGTTGCAGTCGTCTGTATTATAGAAGTATTTTTTGTTGTTTTTATATATAATTATAATTTATTATTAGAGAAAGAATTTTTATGATATAAAATAACAACCTAAAATACCATCAAAAAATGTAAAAATTACCTAAAATATTTAAATTAATAAAATAAATAGGTAAAAAAAATAAATTCCAAATATATTTTTGGTTTTTAAAATTTGATAATAATAAACAAAATAATATCGTAATAAATTAAATGAATAAATTAAAAAATAACAAATTAAAATAAAAACAATCATCAATTAGGTATAATTTATAATACCTAATGGCTAATAGGTATATCTCATATTTTCAAATAGAAGGATGTGAAGATTTTTCATTAAAATACCTATACAAATTAGTTTAAATTCATAAAATCAATATTTAAAACATTAAGATTAAAAAAAAGCAAAATAAAAACCTTATAGGTACCTACTTACTATGCTTGTATTAGAGTTTATAAGGAATAAAAATAAATTAGTTATCATTGTATTCAATAATCAATACCTATAATATAGAAAATAAATGAAAGAGTCATAAAAATTCTATCTCTAATTATTTTATTACCTATTTAATTTTTTGCCAGTAAACTACATATTGTTGTACAATAAATATATAGATAGCATATAATACCTATAATATAATTATATATATTGATTAGGTACCTACTTACGAGGGTAGAGTTGTGTTATTTTTAATATTAAAACATTTACTGTGTATTTTCGCAAAGCCTTTCTTTGTATCATGCCTTAAGCCCCCCCTGCCCCACTCGAACACTCGTTGGTAATTTGATTTACAATTATTATAATTTTTTTTTTTTCTGTTTTCGTTTTGATGTACAATTTTATTTGATGCGGACATACGGACTTGTTTGACGGCGCACCAAAAATATTATTATGACAACATTGCGTATGTTTCACTTGTTTTCTGTTTTTCATCACGTCTTTATATTTGGTAAGTATACGACGATATTTCGCTTTTTTTTATTTTCACTCAAATTATTGTAGTTGGTATTTATATCGGCATGTGTTGTGCTCGTCGTGTTATGTATAACGTATTTTTAAATAACCACCTAGGTGGCTAGTCAATAGGCATACACACTTACATTGCTGTATTTTATTAGTGCGGTATGTCAAAGCTTTTACATAATATTATACGAATAAACAATATAAGTAATATAACTATAGGTACTTACCTACTACAGTACTACCTACATCTATAGATACAGCATGTCGACATGGAGAATTTATTTCGTTAGCTGCAAATTAACGAGTTACCAAATATATCAAAAAGATAAATTATAAATTATTCACACACACACACACACACACAAACACATTTTATTATGTGAGACGTTTGGGTACCATTATTAATTTTTGGAATTTTGGCCATTACAATTTATTAAATTTTTTAACATCGTTTGTACCTACCAATTTTTTGAACATTCTTAGCCTATACAAAGAAAGAGGCAACCATTTCATTAAATTACCTATATTGTTATCATATAATTGTTTAAAAATGCAGTCTACAATTCGTATCCTGATCTGACATATTGCTGAACCAATGCCTGTCCGATAGGTATCCTTGGCCTGCATGGCTGCATGTACACGGTATTTATATACCTACCTAATATTTTCATCCTATCCTATATATATAGGTACATTTTTTATATTGTGATGTGTTTAAGTTGTGACAAGTGTACCTACTACCTACCTAACCTATCTAATGTGAAGTTATAAGTTATAACTATTATATGAACAGAAAAAAGTCCTGATACTTAATTTAATACATTAATAATTTTTAATGGATTTCAGTATAGACTGTATATTATTGTATAAGGTTCCAAGAACTTTTTTGATGTGGGTATTTAAAATATCTCGTTGTATAGTAATAGGTATGTATTGTATTAAGTATAAATTAAATTTGTTCACAATAGAGTCAGAACATTTTTTCTATTACCAATTATAGGTAACTATCAGACTTCTCATTTTTTTTTAAAAAAGCAGTTTTGAATGATTATTATTAATTATTTTTACTTGAAATTTGGGACAAAAAAAAATAAAGACAATATTTTATTAATATTTATTTTCATAGACCTACCTAATAACATTGACACCTATATATTATACAATATATACTCAATGCTAATAAGTAAACACATTTTATTTATTTTGTAAAATCCATCGATTAATAATTATAACTGTTTTCAGTTTTCACAAATTTGATATGATTGTTGTTAATATTTCAAGATGGTTCATTTTAATATTTTATAACTTTTAAGGAGATAGGTACTTATTAGACAACCATAGATACATCTTAAAATCATACTTTCTCAGGACATTTTTTTGGACAGTTTTCGATGTTTCATTGATTGCCTGCCTTGGTTTTCAATAATATATTTTATTTCAATATTTGTTTTTATAATTTTCGTTTTGTATTGTTTTGTTTTGTTTTGTTTTGTTTTATTTAAAACTTTCTTTTTAATTTTTTTTTATATGTATTAATATAAACACAATTTTTTCAACAGTTAATGCAGCTAATTTGAGAAAAGAAGTCATCAGAAATAAAATAAGAGCAATTGGAAAAATGGCAAGAGTCTTCTCGGTTTTGAGGTAAAAATATGTCTATAACTATCTTCTTTTTAATGGTTTTTTAATACATTAATTTGTATATTATAAAATCAATCATACAACCTATAATTGCAATTTACAGGGAAGAAAGTGAAAGTGTATTGCAGTTGAAGGGTTTAACACCAACTGGTGCTCTCCCTCTTGGAGCATTGTCTGGTGGCAAGACATCATTAAAAAATGGTAAAAAGATTTTTGTATATTATGTATAATGTAATTTATACACATTTTTAATAATATGTTTAATTTTAACCACTTATAATATTTACCTTAAATGAATTGTATTATTGTTTTATTAATATTTTAGCACTGCAAGGTTTTTCGCCTAACCATAAGATTACTTCATTTGCTGAAGCAAAAGGTCTTGATGCAATTAATGAAAGAATGCCTCCACGCAAAGACACACCACCATCCAACCAGTGCTCGCCATCTAACATAGCTACGTCATCAACTACACCTGCAGTGACACCTGTAACAGAAGAGAAATCGCCAACCCCATCAACTACTCAGAAACCAACATCATCGGAACAACCATTACCAAATACCACTCATTCATGATTGCCATAAGTTTAGGTGAATCATTTAGTGGCTATTTCATCTTCTTAAAAATATACTGTTGTTTAATTGAAATTAAAAACATTTCTTTTTATTTTAAGATTTCAGATTACCTAGCTATACCAGGATCTATGTGCTGTTATCTCCTTACTACAGTCTACAGTTTATTCAATTTAACAACTACTACAATTATTATAATAATTTATCATATTCATTTCAATGGTACATTTTTAATTAAAATATTTGGCACCTTAAAAAAGAAGTTCCTGGGGACAATTATGTCAATATAAATAATATATATAATATAATTTTCTTTTTTTTTTTTGTAAATTATTGTCTTATATTTCTACGATTTTAATTTGCTGTTTTTGTTGTTATTTTGTTTATTTTTTGTATGGTTATTTCAAATCTTAAACCTCAGTTTAAAATAAGAATGGTCAGGTATCTATTGGATTATACTTGTGCATCGCTTGTTTTATCAATATCTAAGGCATAATATCTTTTGCTATACGATCTCTTCATTTTACTGTACACTCTTTTCATAATGTCAAAATATCATTTAATTATGAGTATTTCATATTAATTATTATTAACTAATAATTATTTAAATTTTCCCATTTAATTTTTTTACCTCAATATAAATCGGAGATATTTTTGACATATATCACATTATCATTCTATTACGTATCAATTGCAATGTGCAGTAAAATGTGATGCGTCACATTAGCCTATGTATTATGCTAAATATTTTGCCATTAATTTTGTCAAATCTAAAAACCAAAAAAATACACATAATTAATTTAGTATAGGTATATCTTTATTATATATATATATATATATATATATATATACTATATACATACATTAATATTTATAAATATTTCTTTATTAATACTATTTTGTATATATTATAATATTTAAATAAAACCATTATATTAATATATCTACGATAAAATGAATTTTATATTTAGGTCCTGCAAATTTAAACATTTGTCTTCATTTTATTTCTTTATAGTTTAAATTAATTAAAAATTATTGAATGAAAAAACTTGTTAACAATTCACTCAATTTGAATTACATTATTATCATAGCTACTAGTTTTTAATTATTATAAAAAAAATTTTAATAGATAATTTTTACTGTTCAACCTTTATTTTGGAAAGATAAAAATATTGTCCTTGTTTTATTTCTATTATAAACAAAACTATTGCTTATTATGCAGGAATAATTAACGCTCATTAATTATATATTTTTTTCCACATTATTTATTTCAATTTGTTATCCATTTCCATCTTTAGTAATATTATTGCACGTGTTATCTGCAGTTGTAAACAAATACAATATAGAAAAAAAAAATGATGTCAATCACAATTTTTTTCCTATCATTATAATATCACTAATCTTTTATTATAAGACTGTTAATTTATTCGTACAAAGACTATGAATAAAAAGTAAAATTATTAATATTATATTTAGCGGATTATAAAAACCAAACCCTCCCTATCAAAAAAATGTATGTAACTTTTTTTTCTATTGTGTGACCACCAAAAATTCTTTTATACATAATATAAATAATTTAAGACAAAAAATACCCTGTTAATTCTTCTATGTTTATTTGTTTTCAGAAGTTAAATAAAACTTTATACAACTTGACTTTGAGTTGACTTGATTTTATTAGATCCTTTAAAATATTGGAACTGGTTCAATTTTGTCATATTTTGCTTACTGATAGTATGGTATATGTATCATTAAAAAATATAAAATAAATAATAATATCAATAAAATATAAACTTAGTTAATATGGTCTGATGACCATTTATCAATATAGTATTTTATTTTACTATGGTCATAACTCGTAATAATGAAAAATTAATAATCAATAGATATGAATTTTAAGATGAATTTTAATATTGTTACATATGATTATGTGACTATGGTTCAAACGTTCTTTAACTGACACATAACCATTTTATTTGGTTTTTAATTTTTACTCATAAATCTCATTTATTGTATTTCAGACATAGGTAAACCATAATTTCCTTACAAACTTATGTATCCTTATAAATTATAAATATAAAATACTTCCCTGACTTATGACTACAAAAAAAAAATATATTATTTGAACAAGTTAAAATACCTACCTACAACCTACTAGATTCGAAGTCTAGAATTTACCTATATTTATATTCTATACACAAATATACAGTTGTAATGGTTTTAACAAATATCTATCTAAACATATTATAAATTAAATAATTTAGACTGTTATTATTTTTGTTGAAATACTATATACAATTTTACATAATATTCTAAATTGTAGAAGCCCAAAAAAGTTTAAATACGTCTCTTATTATTTATTACCTACTTAATAGCATCATTTTTTTAGTTTTTCATATGGTAACCCAAAATACCATAAATTAATTTTATTTAATAATTCTAAATGTAAGTAGGTATATAAAATACTAACAAATATACTTGAACGCAGTAAATATATTCTGATCTTTCCATATTTTTCATAGAATGATTATAATAGTACTTAGGTAGGTACTGCAGATTTAATCTTTTAACCAATACCTATCAGAACTTACTTTTGTGTAGAGCCTGTTGTTTCTCGTTATTTTAACGAAGATGAATAATATACAAAATATTTACAGGAAGGGCTCGCAATAATTATATTAGGTGGGTACCTATCATATACACGATACATCTATATAATAAAATCGAACTTTACTGACTGACTGGCGTCTGGCTGACCACTGTATAGAGCATAATCTATGTGATCATTGAGAGCTATAACAGACTTGCAATTGGTACCTTCGTATCACCATGTAGAGGTGTTCACTAAGGATTTTTAAAAGTTGGCATTTTAAAGAGATGCTCACACAAATATTTTGAGATTTTATAATGTTCGAGGGGGGAATCGAAATTATTATTTTTTATTTACACTTAAATAGTTGACATTGGTTACAGCGAATATAATTTATAATAATATAAGTAGAAATTAGTATATTTTTTTTAAATAAACGCTATCGTTATTGGCTACTCGGGCAGATGAGGTAATAGCATGCATCAAATCATCGCGTTTATGCGGCCTCAAATAAAGAAATTATAATAATAATTTTTTATAAGATAAATATTAAATATACCTATCTTAAAACAAGTATGAAAGTTCAGTGCCGGATCTAGTGGGGGAGGGGTAAATGGGTATCCTTGCATCTTGCCCCGGACGCTGTTGGTATAAGGACGCTCTTATGAAAAATAAAAAATTCATGAACATAAAATATGTAAAAATTATACATATTTCCAAAAAAAATAATAATTATGACACAGTCATTCGTTATTTAACACGTCGAACGCCGATATCATCACGTGGATGACATGAGTAACCGAGAGCCTATAGGTGCCCTATATGGCAGGTATTAACGCACAGCCATTTGCTATCCTCGTCTTACAAGTGCGTATAATATGGCAAATTTACGCTCAGGAGAACGCGTTTAGGCTGGGGCTATACAAGGCGAAATTCGTCGAACGGATTTCGCGGCGAATTCCGCTGTCATCGAAAACCTATATGATTAAATCAGGCAGGCTATACGAGTTCGCCTCGAATTAATCCGCCGCGATATTCGCGGTCGGTCGACGATTTTTTTCAAAACCGCCCAATCCATAAAACCGCAAAACCGTCTATTTATATAAACTTTTAATGATAGCGGCTATACGGGTATTTTGGTTTAGCGAATTTCGCGGCGATTATTACTATACTACGGTATTTTTTTTATTGAGCGAATCCGTCACCGAATTCGCTGTGTATAGCCAGACAACGAAAACCGCCGCGAAATCCGCTCGACGAATTTCGCGGCGAATATCGCCGTGTATAGACCCAGCCTAAGCTCGGTTGGTTTAAAAATCGACCTATTATGAAACTTGATGGTAAGTACCTACATTATCTGTGTTTGTATGTAGGTTTTTTACGGTACTTCAATATTTTAGTAAATTATGCGTACATATATTGTATATAGTAAATTAAAAATGCTCATAACTCACTTAAAAGTGAATTATTGTAAAGAAAACCCACATACCAAACAACACAGATAATGTTCTTACCATCAATTTTCATAATAGGTTGATTCACTATAATATGTATATAATTTTTAAGGTAACTTAGTTAAACGTGATCCCCTGAGCGTAAAAATGTTATGTCATGCACTTGTAAGACGGAGACAACAAATATCTGTGTAGCGTTCACATAATTTTAGCCAGGAACAATAAATTCAGGAAAATATTTGTCAGGAATTATGATGGATATAAAAGTCTTTAAACCCAACTAGATTTCTTTTCCTAACAGAAAAAGGTAGCAGAGAAATTTTTACTGTCCCAAAAGGCGATGAGTGATGACAGTCGACAGACACAAATAATTAGAAAACAAAACACACACACGTCACACAACATTGTAAAATCAATACATTCATCGGAGCCGCTCAGAATCTAAAATAAAAAAAAATTAATGTTACCTATATTGTAGGTATACATGTAGATTGTATGCATGTAGCGCAACTGCGCAAGTGACTTTAAATTATGTATATATAGCAAAATTATTTTATACAGCGATTACTGCTTAGAACACGAGTTCTTTCTTTCGTCAGGTAAATATTCTGCATGATTACACTTTGTAAATTGTATACAACATGAATTAACATAATATTCAGTGCCGTAGAATGGGGTAACTTTGAGTTCGTGGGGTAACTTTGATAATATGATATTTTTATTCACCATAGTACTACCACAGAATAGATTAAATTTAATCTATTCTGTGGTACCACGACAATTTAATATATTTATTTCATAAAATAAAATGGGGTAACTTTGATAACACATTACGAAATGCTGGTATCAAAGTTGCCCACAACGTGGTGTAACTTTGATAGCATTTTAAAAAAGATTAATATCTCAGAAGATAACATCGGAAATTTAAAAATTTAAATGTTAAACAATTGAGGATAATTAGC